GCTTCCAGTCGGCTCCGTCGCGGTTTCCCCGTAGAGCATCGCCCTGATGTGGGCGGGCGATCTCGCAGCACTAAAACCATGAATTAGAGCTTGCGTGCGGGCGTAGGACAACCGCAGTGCTAGCTGGCGTGCAACCTGAAGCTGTTCACTTGCCACTGCTCTTCCCTCTGAGGCGCTTAGAAGCCGGGGGGGCTTTCTCGTCGGCGTCGCCGCCGCCTCCCCGCTTCGCCTGCCTGGCAGCCCTCTTCTCTTGCTGCTCCGTCTTGCGAGCGTCCTTCAGCTCCTTGACGGCTACAGCGACGCTTTTCACTCGCGTGTCCAAGTCGTCTTTGGAGAAGGGCAAGGAAAGCTCCCGGTCCCCTGTGTTCTCCTTCTGGGCGAGGACCTGCTCACAGCTTGTTTTCCAGCTCTGCAGCAGAGCGTGGGACTCCTTCAGCAGAGCGACGGTCGGCTCCTGCTCAGGGGGTGCCGGCTTGCCGACGTGTTGCTCTGCCTGCAACCAGCTGTTCGTGACCTGGCTCAGGGCTTTGGTAGCCAAGGACAGCACTGTCTTGTTGTTTTTGGCGACTGCACGTGCTGCTTTCTTTTCAGCCGGGTCTTCCTTCCCCAGCTTCTGAGACGACACGGTTGGTGCCTGCAAGTCCCACGTCTTGGCTCCCTTGCCAGCCTTGCCTTGGGCAACTTCCTTGACCCTCTCCAAAAGCTCGGTCTGGATCGTCCGCAAAACGCAGCTTTGGGACACTTCCTTGACCTGCAAGCGGTAGGTGCGGCCAAGTACTTCGTTGTCCTCCCAGTCCGCGCAGCGGTCCAGCTGCTCCTGGGTGAAGCCCTTCTTCAACCACACCGCAGGTGGGAGGTACTTTCCACCCACGGAGACGGTGAGTGACGTCACTCGCTGCCGTGTCAGGCTCTCGACCAGGCGGCTCTGCACAGTCTTCCAGCAGCTGGACCCGGAAGTCGCACTGAAGAAGTTGTGCCGCTCCTCGTCGCTCAAGGTCTGCAACTG